GGCACATTTTATCTCTGAAGCAGACGACTTCTCAAAAATTGTAGACCAGTGTTATTATTAACAATATCAACGTATCCCTAGAGTAAAAATAAACCCACCTGAAAGTGAGTTGGTTCACTTTAAATTGTGAACATGTGTGAGGAAATCAAATACAGTATTTATTGTGAATTACTCACCCAGCTTTAGATCTTATCCAAAGCAATAGAGCCTGATCCTGCTTCCATTAAATCAACAGAAAAAACTCCTATTGATGTCAATGGAACTTTTTATCTTGCAAGTAAATGCATCTTTTTTCAGTATGGTTCCAGTATAAAAGTCTTTTTTTTTTAAAGCAGATACTTGGGATCTGATGGCAGCTAAGAAAGCTTATAATATTTGCCTTTGAAAAAGGCGTTGGGAAATAGTGCTGGCAGAAATAGCCATCTTGCAACCTCTTTGCCTGACCGCTAAATGCTCCTCATTAATGTCTTGATCCAAAGCGCAGTGAAATCAGTGGGAGTTTTCCATTAATTCTAGTGTGCTTGGAATCTGGCCCTAAAAGAACTTACATAGCCACTGTTATGGTAATTCAATTAGATAAGTTAATTGCTACAGTTGCACCTCAAGAATGCACAAGTCACTATCTTGCTTTCTGGAAGTCTCTTTGTCTGTGAGGCAATTACTGTATTCATCAGACATTTTAAGTGTTCATTCCTTGGAGCCAGTATAATAAAATGATAGTGAAATAGTGGAATTCTTTTTTCACAAAAAAGCTATTAGCTAATAAAAGCACAAGAAGTGACACTTGTTTGAATATTACAGGGTGATGCTGGCGTTACTGGTCGAAAGATCATTGTGGACACTTACGGAGGATGGGGAGCCCATGGAGGTGGTGCCTTTTCAGGCAAAGATTATACAAAGGTGGACCGGTCAGCAGCATATGCAGCCCGCTGGGTGGCCAAGTCTTTGGTGAAAGCCGGGCTGTGTCATCGTGTTCTGGTTCAAGTATGTTCCATTTTGAATCTTGTTGATTTTTGCTTTTTGAAATTTATTTATTTAAAAAACACTTCATTTTTACCTTTTCCCTGAAAAATGTGCCTTAGAAAAATGGGTTTGTGAGGGAGAGAGCTGGTGAGGTGGTCAGCACTTATCAAGCTATCCTTGGCTTGATTATGTCTGTGATAGCACAGGTGGAGAGAAATCAGAAGTTTATGGAATTCTGGAAGCTTAGCTTGGAGCTGGATTGAGTATAAAAGGAAGATCAGGAGAAAGATCTTGTTCTGCTTAGTTCAAGATCAGAGTCACGGGGGCTTTCAGTATAGTAGCTTTCTCAGGCCTGGACTTTTTGGATAGTTTACATTTTACTGGAGATTATTCTGGATATTTACTGGATCCATCAGTCTTCTGGTATCGACTATCTTCTTGCTGTGCTGGTGGAGGGTGTTCTGATACTACATTGTCCTGTCACATGCCCTGCTGGCCATATGAGGCTCCATCCTTGTTTTCTAACTAATGCTTTTGTCTGCCAAAGGTTTCTTATGCCATTGGAGTGGCTCAACCTCTCTCCATTTCACTGTTCACTTATGGAACTTCCCAGAAAACAGAGAAAGAGCTACTGGACATTGTGCACAAGAACTTTGATCTTCGACCTGGAGTCATTGTCAGGTAAGCATGTTGCAGGAGCACACACATATGGAACAGTCAGAGTGAACACTTCCTGGAACTCCTCTCAAAGAAGTATAGACGTTACAGAAGAAAAAGAGCTATTAAATCAGCCTGACCAACCTCTTGTCCTAATATAGTATTGGTCCCTATAGTACATCCCCTCTCAGAATTTGGCCCTGCATAGGGGTTACTACAGCTACATGTGTGTGTTCTGTAGTATGTGGCATTGAAATAGTTTTGGCTCACAGTAATGTTACCTCATTTTTACTAGAGCTGTTTGAGAAATTGAGACTATTTTTCATAAATATTTGATTGAAAATTGGGTCAAAATTTCCATGAACTTCAGTGGGTTTTGAGTCTGGCCCAAAAAGGCTTCAGACTAATCCTTATAGACACTTTCATGGTCATTATTCCATAAAACAAGTTCATTGGTACATTTGCACTTCCAAAATTCAGCCCACTTGCTGGACTGAAAGGAGGAACTAGCTTAAAACAATGATTTATAGTGTTACACTTCAGACTAAACTATTTTCTTTTCTTTTTCTTGAACACTAAGGGATTTGGATTTAAAGAAGCCAATTTATCAGAAGACTGCCTGTTATGGTCACTTTGGAAGAAATGAATTTTCATGGGAGGTGCCTAAGAAACTTGTGTTTCAACAATAATGGGTCCATCCGCAAAGCAGAAGTGAAGAAGATTCTACTAGTCAATAAGATGTTGGCAGAAATCAGCACTGACTACTCTTTATCCAGCTCAAGGAATTTCAGATTTTAAATGGACAGGATATTCTCATGGGAATTAATTCTTACTCTCAATCTTATCCTATTTCATTGTCAAAAACACTAAAGGCAGAGTCTTTTTATCATCACAAGAAGACAAAATACAGTTTATTTTACTGCTGCTATGTTGGTTCCACGGACAAAGGCAAAATCTGACTAGGACATACAAACCAACGTTTGGGCCTTAACTCTGTTACAGTGTGATCTTACATTCAAAAGAAAAGGTATCCCTCATCATTCTAGCTAAGGAGCAGTAGGTTTCTTCACCCTGACTGGACACTAGGAAATCTGCAGGGGACAGTTTTCTTATAGGAGCTGGTATTGCATACACCTATGGGGAATTTTGCTTGGAGGGGATTCGTTATCGTGTAACTGCAACATAGCTGCTCCTTTAAAGGATGTTGTTAGGTGCTTAGACCTCCTTCACTAGTTATCTCTGCTTACCACAGTGTTCCAATCAGCTGTGATTTGGTGACTCAAACTTTTTCTTTTAGCTACTATGTACTTATAAGTGCTGCTTTTCTGTGTGTTTACATATTAGCACATCAAATTTTGGAGTCAGTGGCTCATCGCAATGTATGGCACATTAGAGCTCCATTGACGTCCCTTGGATTGTGCTAATATGAACACTGCCTAGTAGCGACAGTGCTTTTAAACACTGTAGAGCAGAGTGCTGTTAGTACCCTATTTTAATAGATTTTTAAAGGCCTGGTGTCAAGGTATCATCCACAACTTGTGGAGTTGTTTTTCTCCCACTGGTGTTTATAACAACAGCCCTTTGGGAGAATGACACTGAAATCTGTTTCTTTGTTGAAATGTGCCGTCTGTTATTTTTATGCACACACTGGTTTGCTTTGGAGCATTGCTTACTAGTGGTAGGCTCAAAGCTTTGATTTTTGATGTTGACCACTATATGGGGACAAAATATGCATACAAAAATAACCAGAACACATTGGAAATAAAAGGTCCTTATGTTAAAATTTGGATCTACCAAATTTGACAGCATCTTTAACTGAAAGTCAATGATTGAGTAATCCTGTAGATGGCAGTACTACCCACCCTAGGTTTATATGTCTAACATCTGTAGAAAACACTTGGCTCTAGGCAATGTTCCAGAATAGCTTGAGTTGTGTACATGGTACTGCCAAAGTTAAAAGTAACCAATTGCTTTTTACTTTTGCAGTTCTACTTACAAATTGTAGATGGGGGATCTCTGTGATCCAGGCAATAGCTGGTTGAGGGAGAGCGTGTCGTTTGTGTACCCACATACTGTGTTGTCTTAAAGTGTGAGTGAAAGGAAATGGGATTAGTCCATTTCTGCAAAGAACTTCAGGCCAGTCTTGGTTATATTGGAGACATGGGTAGGTTTTCTCATTGACTTCAATGAAACCGGGCTCTGGGCTTCTGTCACCATTTCATGTTGATGTAGTAGGTACCAAGAGTGAAATTAATGCTGCTGCAGGGGTTGACTGAAAATGCCACTCAAAGTTCACATAAGGGTTAAGGTGGCCCTTGTATGGAATTTCTGCATTGGAGAAATTTTGCTCCAGGAGAATGCAATTTCTTTGCATACTGTCTCCTGACTTGTTCTGAAAATGGGAGCAGTTGGAATAATGTAATGCCTGACTCATTGCTGTGTGTTTAAGTTTGGTGATCATTAAAATAAAGAACTAATAGCACTGGCTAACAGTAGGTATGATTTAGCCAGGTATTGTGCAAACTTCTCCCCTTTCAGTGCATCTCAAATTCAATGTGCCTCCTTCCTATTCAAGGAACAAGCCTCTCCTCTTCAGCCTCTGTGCTAGACTGTGCAATGTGTACCAGCTAGAATGAAAAACAAAAAAACCCACCAAAAACTATTTGTTTCTCTGTGTGTGGCTTGGAACCCATATTGCCAGAAAAAAGAAATTGGAACATTAATCCGTGTCCTCTAGCCACACAAATGCTTGCCCTTTGGTAGGAAAATATCAAAGTGCAGCTGCACGTAAAAGAGTCATTTGGCCCAAAAAAGGCATTGTGGGGTTCTGTAGTCATTCTGACTCACTGATTTCCAGATCAGATTTGCACAGTTTGTAAATTAAATTGTTATTGGTAACTGCTAGTCCACAAAATTCTGCCTAGGCTCAGAGAGGCAAGCTGGTTTCTTTCAACCCCATGCATCATCATCACTAGTAATAGAGGCCAAATGACACCTTAGAATACACCTGTGCTGCTCCATTGCTTTCATATTACACCCTAACTGCCACCTGTGAAAACCCTTTCAGGACTAATGGGGCTATGTACGTATACCTGAGGGCATCATTTGAACACCATGAGCTCACACAAGTGAATTTGATGGCATAATTTGAGCTTCAGCTGCCCTATGGCTAGGTATGATGCCCAGGACAAAAGGACTCAGACTGAGTGTTAGGGGCCAGGGCTGGTTATGTTGTAACTCTGTAAAGTCCACTCCCTGTGCTGGGTTGGAACAGCCCAAGGGCTGCTTTAACTTATGCTATCTGCAAATGGCCCTGAGGGTCCAAAAACAGGCTATGGATTGTGGTAATATAACCAACACACCTTCTGGGTGTGGTGTTCTGCCCCATCTAGTGGCACTGGGACCACTTAGAGAGAGAGGGATTCATGAGTCTGCTCTACAGCCTTAGCTAGCAGCCATAGAGCTTTTAGCTCATGCGGTAGAGGCTCATGCACTAAGCTCCAGAGGCTCAAGGTTGGCTCCTGCCCGCTGATGACCAGGGTCTGTTGGCGTTACAGTAGCATGGGAGCACCCTGGCCATGTTCCTTTTCCTCCAGCCACTACCTCTCTTCCCTGCTATGCTGGGAGCACTGAGGGTGAGTGGCATAAGAGCCCCTACATAGGTTCTGCTGTACGGGGGACCATCTTTACTCTGGGTTGATCTTCCCTGGATGATTTTGCCATTGTAAGGCTAGATTACCCTGGTCCTGCTCTCATTGATTTCCATACAAGGAACACAGGAGCCCACAAGGCCAATTGTTGCAAAGTAACTTTCGTTGGTAAATAAAAGACATGCTTTGCTGCTAAGTTATTACAAAAAAAAAAGTGCTATAGTTTTTCAAAGACTACCTAATGAACCTTTATCTGCCTATATTGCACCCAAGGATAGACAGTTACTAATAGATAGAGGTTATTAATAACAAGCAAGTGACCTGTTCTATTTGCCTCAGGATTATTATGCAAAAATAGATTGCAGTTCTACAACTATTCTTCATCCAGGAACTCCACCAGGAGTCCACAGGCAGCCTCGCCTGCAGTCGTGATCTTTCCACTGCCTTCATTGAGCATTGGCTTAGGACCATAACGATTTATATCACTACTGGGAGAGGGAGTAAGCCACCAACAACAAAGAACACCGCACCCAATCATAGAAAGAACTCAATATACATAAAAAAATTGCTGATCCTCGTATAAAAGTGCCATGATCCTATCATGATCGACTCAAGCTGCTTCATAGGAAATGGTAGCAACAGTTCTCGGCCAGGGAAGCCCATTACAGGTAGAAATAAAAATTGCTAAGGATTTTATGTTGGATACATAAAAACACTGAGCCAATTATATATTTTACCTAGCAGGGTTTGCATGAAAAAAATTTATAAGCATGTTAGAAAATGGGTCTTTATATTTTATATTGCATTTAGTAATTTCCTTTTGTTCTTTTGCATATCCTATCACTACTGCTTTAAATGTGTGATTCAAGAACACACTGAAGTCCAGTCTGTGGGAAACTGACCTGTTGCTAAGGTCACTTGTCAGCAGGGGGTCCCACCAGAAATAGTGAGAAAACCAGCTTAAACTGCTAGTACAGAGGGGGGGAAAATTGTTTCCAGCACAATGGGAGACTGTGATTGAGTTTTGGGTTTCCTGTCTGTCTCTGGAACTTAAACTTTATAATAGTGGCTACTTTGTATGCCAATGCTTCCTTTTACTGTTATTTAAATGTGGAATGGGAATAACTACTAACCATGAGAAGTGTGATTCTTTCATCTACCCTTCCTTTGTTCCATCTTGTAAACTTTCCTCTTGACTGGTTTAGTAGTTAGAGTGGGGAATGTGTGCATCAGGAATCCTGGGTTCTATTCCTGGCTCTGCCTGTGTGATCCTTAGTAAGTCAGAGTTGTGTCAGTTTCCCTGTCTGTGCAATGGGATAATATGTTCCTACCTCACAGAAGTGTTATGAGGTGACTGCGTGAATTTGTTACTGGGAAGTGGTTTGAGAGCTGTGGGTAAAAGGTGCTGTAGAAATACTAGTATTAGCATTGCAGATGAGTTTACTTGTAACCAGTACTGCAGATAAGCATTACTGTCCATAATGTCACGAGGTCCCAACTCGAGCCTGCTTTCTCTGTTGCTAAACCCTTCCATATGCCCAAACACCTAACTTCCAGCTGCTAAGCCTGCCCACAATTCCCAGCACTTTGACCCAACTCCCCCCATTTTTTCCAATGGTTGACACCGCTACTTCACTTGCGGAAGAGATTTGATCCTTCCACCCCCATCTCCGCCTCCCACTCTTCAGTTGCCAAACTCTCCTGCTACATCCCAAACAAACATCCTAACCTGAGCCCTACCCCAATGTTATCCCCAACATACATCCCCTCACCAAGCAACCCAACTCCCATTAACCTGACTGATGCCCCAACCTTGCTGGGTCACTGCATCACCACCAACTAAGATGATCCCACCAACCAGCCTTCTAGTTTCCACACATCCACCAGTTTGAGATCTGAAAGCTAAAAGTGCTGTAATGGCTACACCTCCTCTGGGGCAGCCAAAGAGTGTTAACACAGTGGCTCAAAACTAGCTCCTCTCAATCATTTTCAGTAGGGAGGTGTTTTACCCACCCTCCCCTGTAGCTGTTGCCCAGAAATAACGTGGGCGGGTATGAAGCAAAATGCCATTCCTTCTTACTGCAATAGACAATCTCTTTGCCAATGTGTCCTTCTAACCACTTCGGACAAGGTCTCTTTTTAAGGGTTGCTCCTCAGTGCAGCTGCTAATGGACCAGATCCTGAGAAGGGTTGATTACCTGTATGTCTGGCTGAAGTCCATGGGAATTGTGGGTGCTCAGCACCTCTGTAAATCTAGCCCGGTAATTTTTTTCAATCCAGCATACTCTTGGCCACTGCAGTGACCAAGTGACTACCCTCAGTAGTTCTCCAGGCTTCATTTGCTGGGAAGAATTAAAACTCTGCATATAATACTGAATGTTATGTGATGGAATAAAACAGACCAGCTGAGGTTCTTCTCACCTGAGAGCCCCATTTCACATGACTAGAAATGTATATCCTTTGTTGGCATAAAATACCACCTCCTCTTTCAGGGAGGAGCATCACCACCAAGTGACTAATTTGATATTTCTAAATATAGAAGGAGAAGTTCTTAAAGTATAAAAATAGGTAGGGTCAGATCCTCAGTTTGTGTAAATCACCAAAGCACTACTGATGTCAATTAGCTATTTACTACCTACATCATAGTTGTCCAGAAAGATTCTGGATCAGTCTAATAGGAAACTACATTGATCTACACCAGCTGAGAATCTGGCCTGTGGAGCCTGTATATCCAGCAAAACCAGTAATTATGAGACTGGGATAAAGCCTTTATGATTGGCAACTGCACAGCAGCAATGAGGATAGCAGGAATGCTGCAAAGCCCCATTGGGTAGCTGGTCAGAGAGCTGCCTGTCTGTGTGACATTTTTACACCTCTGACATTTAAGTGAAAATCCATCTCCAAGCATGTTTGTGATTAAAGTATTTTTCTGCTTTCTCTGCCAAGAGGTCTTATTTGTTGAGATCTGTGTGTGCTGTTGACATCTTTCCTTATTCATTTCCTGTTGGTTCTGTGTATGAAAAATAAATAGGCAGCAAAGGGCCTCCATGTTTAATTTTTATTTTGTCATGTTTCAGTGTACAGTAGTTTTGAATCAATAAAACCTATGTCAAACTGGATCCTATTTCCTGTCAATATTAATTGTACAAAAAAACAACTGCTACACACATGGGGTAAAATTTTCATAAGAACCTGTGACTTAGGCACCCAACTCCCATTGATTTCCTCAATGAAACTTAGACTTCTAATGCAAACAAACAAACAAACAAACAAAACAAACAAACACCACACACAACAGTGAAAAATGCAGCTCTGGTGACACCAAAACTTTGGCAAAATAATACAAATTTGCCAAAGTGTTTCAGTTTAAAAAAAAAATCTGAGAAATTTGAAATGTTTCATTTAGACATTTTCAGAATTAAATGTTTCAGTTTCTTGGTTCAGAAGACCTTTTGGTTTAACATTTTCTTTAATGTTATAAAAACTCTTAATATTTTTAAATGATCAAAAATGAAACAACTCATTTCAGTTTTCTCACAATAAAAGTTTGTTTGACCCTAAAAGAATTTTTGTTGTACTTCTTGAGTCACCAAAAATTCATTTTCAGTTTGACTCAAAACAAATTTTTACTGTTTTTGAAATGCTAGTGTATTGAAAAATCAGTTATTCACTTAGCTCTACTTCTAAATGCTTAAGTCATTTTTGAAAATACGTCTGTAGTGAAGTGAAGACTCACAAGCACAGCACCTCCTGCTGGTCGGTTGGGAATTAGCTCATCCAGCACTCAGAGCATCTCCTGGTGGCCAGTGACTCACCTGCCTCAGGCCCCCATGTCCCTCCCACCCCCAGTGCCCTTTACCACACTCTGGGTCTCCCCTCCCAGGGGAACCCCAACCCTCTACACCCACCTTGCCTAGGTGGCTACTGCCAGTCATCATCCAGCCCCCTCTCACTGGGGCAAACTGCAGTCTTTCATGGTCACTCATGATTGGCAAGGAGGCTGCACCAGCTGCTTCTGCCTAACCCTGGGCTGCGCCTCCCAGCCCCAGTACCCATACAGGCCTTTAGCAAGGCATCAGCCTGGGAAATTGCCAGGCTGGAGCTCCCCAGCTCCTCTTGTCCTTCCCCATCACTGCTCTGCTCCAGGTACCCTTTTTCCAGACAGCTAGATCCTTCTCTCTCCAAAGCTACAGAGAGACCTGACCCAGTTCCTCCCTGAGCCATTATAACAGGGCCAGGTGTGGCCTGATTGGCGCGTGGCCCCAACTGTGGCTGCTTCCCCAATCAGCCTAGCCTTTTTCTACCAGAGCAGGGTAACTGCCCCGCTACAAGGTCTTAAGGGTCAGAATTGTAAAGGTATTGGGACAGTTAAAGGGATTTCCATAAATTCCATAACACATTTGTGGGTGATTTTTCAAGATCCACTCTCTTCTTACAACACTGAAACAAACATGCAAAATTAAGGACCCACTTAGCCACCCTAATGTATCAATTAATGGACAGCCCCAAGATGTAGCTGGGCACTCATTGAGATTTTCAAAAGTGCCTTGACTCCTAGGTTCCATGGGCATTCTCTGCGTAGACACTTTTCAAAATTCCACTAGGAACCTAAATAACTTTTAAAAATGTGTCCTTAAGTCAGTTAATGTGGGATTTTCAAAAGCACCTAAGAATATTAGGCACCCAGCTTCTACTGAAAGTCAATGAGAATTGGGCTTCTCATTTTCTTAAGCACTTTAGAAAATTTCACCCCAGGGTCAAATTTACAAAGGTATTTCATAGATTCATAGATTCTAGGACTGGAAGGGACCTCGAGAGGTCATCGAGTCCAGTCCCCTGCCCGCATGGCAGGACCAAATACTGTCTAAACCATCCCTGATAGATATTTAT